TCATGTTTAACTTGTTGTCCACGAGGACTCCAAGATCTTTTTCACACGTACTGCTCTCGAGCCAGGCATCACTGTCCCTCATTCTGTATCTTTGCATTTCGTTCTTCCTGCCAAAGTGGAGTCTCTTGCATTTGTCACTGTTGAACTTCATTTTGTTAGTTTTGGCCAATCATCTCTCTAATCTGTCAAGATTGTTTTGAATCCTGCACCTGTCCTCTGGAGAAGGGCAGCATATAAATGTCATAAATATATATATAAATAAATAGAGGCATGATGGCCATCTGTCAGGGGTGCTTTTACTGTGCTTTTCTTGTATGGCAGTGGGTTGGACTGAATAGCCTATGGGGTCTTTTCCAAATCTATTATTCTAAGATTTATTGTATTGGAGATATATATATATATATATAGACACACACATTTGATACCTCATCAAACTACAACTCCCAGGAGTCCATAGCATTGAGTTATGACAGTTCAAGCAGTGTCAATCTGCATTAACTCTGCAATGTAGATGCATCCCAAGTCTTTTCCAGTCCTCTTACCTTCTGCTCAATGAAGCAGGTATGATATTCCCGGGGAGGCTGGAAAACCCGGTTGGCAGGATCCGGGCGGGAGGCGGCATGGAGCCGAGGGCGCCCCAAGACCCCTTCCACATAGCCAAGCGTGGCTACCAGGCTGAGAAGTGCCAGCGCCACCCTCCACTTCCGGCTCCTCATCTCCTAATGAGCCTCCCGCTTACTCTGCCCCGGCCTTTTATACCCCGGTTTCAGGAGGGCGGGGGAGGGAGGCCGGCACGAGCCCGCGCTGATTTCCATTCCTCATCCGGATTGGCTGGCGAGTCCGCTCCTGACTCCGCCCATATCCGCGAAAGGCTGATGACGCTAAGAGGCGTGGCTTGAGATAAAAGCAGCACCTTTTTAAATCCCAAAGTCAAACTAATCCCCGCCCCTCATCCCCGTTCCCCTCCATTCCGATTGGTTGCTTGTACCTTGTGATTGACTGACGCTGCAACCTATTGCCGAGTGCGTTTCCCATCTCGCCTTTCCTCCATTGGCTGAGGCACAAAATCCCACCCCACACGCTTTGATTGAAGAATTAAGACTGCGCGGCCGTTAGGGGGGAAAAAACAGCGACGCGTTCTGATTGGTTCAGGAAGAATAGGGCGGGGCTTCACTGGGGAATTGAGTTGCGGCGGGAAAAGCTCTTCTTGGGGATAGTCCCGCCTCTTTGGGTAATGCGCGGCGCTGATTGGCTGCCGAGGGCTGATTGACATGTCACTTCCTCATGAATGGGGAAGAGAAGAGTCTGATGCCTGGAGTGAATAGGAAACTGAAAGGAAGCAAGTTGGTAAGCCTTTCTTTCTCCCATATTATCAGATCATACATGTATATACGTGTGTCTATAAATACACACATGATGTATGCAAGCATGTGTGTGTATATATATATATATATGTTTATGCATATATATGAGTGTTCACACATACAAATTATATAAATATATACACAAATATGCAACATTTGAATGTATGTATCTTTATATCAACTTATATCCCCATACCAAAAAATGCGAAAGACTGCTCAAACTTCCATACAGTGGCCCTTATTTCTCATGCCAGTAAGGTAATGCTCAAGATCCTGCAAGGAAGACTCCAGCAATACATGGAGAGAGAGTTGCCAGATGTACAAGCTGGGTTTAGAAAAGGCAGAGGAACAAGAGACCAAATTGCCAATATCCGCTGGATAATAGAGAAAGGCAGGGAGTTTCAGAAAAAACATCTATTTCTGTTTCATTGACTATTCTAAAGCCTTTGACTGTGTGGATCATAATAAATTGTGGCAAGTTCTTGGTGGGATGGGCATCCCAAGCCACCTTGTCTCTCTCCTGAGGAATCTGTACAAGGACCAAGTAGCAACAGTCAGAACTGACCATGGAACAACAGACTGGTTCAAGATTGGGAAAGGCGTACGGCAAGGCTGCATCCTCTCACCCAACCTTTTTAACTTGTATGCAGAACACATCATGCGAGGATGTGCGGGGCTGGATGAATGCAAAGCTGGGGTGAAAATTGCTGGAAGAAACATTAACAACCTCAGATATGCAGATGACACCACTCTGATGGCCGAAAGCGAGGAGGAGCTGAGGAGCCTTCTAATCAAGGTGAAAGAAGAAAGCGCAAAAGCTGGGTTGCAGCTAAATCAAAAAAACCAAGATTATGGCAACAAGAATGATTGACAACTGGAAAATAGAGGGAGAAAATGTGGAGGCCGTGACAGACTTTGTATTTCTAGGTGCAAAGATTACTGCAGATGCAGACTGTGGCCAGGAAATCAGAAGACGCTTCCTTCTTGGGAGGAGAGCAATGTCCAGTCTCGATAAAATAGTAAAGAGTAGAGACATCAGACTGGCAACAAAGATCCGCCTAGTCAAAGCCATGGTATTCCCTGTAGTAACCTACGGATGTGAGAGCTGGACCTTAGGGAAGGCTGAGCGAAGGAAGATCGATGCTTTTGAGCTGTGGTGTGGGAGGAAAGTGCTGAGAGTGCCTTGGACTGCGAGAAGATCCAACCAGTCCATCCTCCAGGAAATAAAGCCCGACTGCTCACTGGAGGGAAAGATACTAGAGACAAAGTTGAAGTACTTTGGCCACATCATGAGGAGACAGGAGAGCCTAGAGAAGACAATGATGCTGGGGAAAGTGGAAGGCAAAAGGAAGAGGGGCCGACCAAGGGCAAGATGGATGGATGGCATCCTTGAAGTGACTGGACTGACCTTGAAGGAGCTGGGGGTGGTGACGGCCGACAGGGAGCTCTGGCGTGGGATGGTCCATGAGGTCACGAAGAGTCGGAGACAACTGAACGAATGAACAACAACAACATGAGTGTTCACACATACAAATTATATAAATATATACACAAATATGCTACATATATACACTCACATTTGAATGTATGTATCTTTATATATATAGGGTGATTTATTTATATTTAATATGTATAAATTTTAAATGTATATAATGTATATGTATATCTATATCTATATATATATATATATATATATATATATATATATATATATATATATATATAAATGCTCTGTGCATAATGAGTACCTTAAAAACAAAAGAACCAAGAAATCACACCAAATTTGGCAACAAAACGTCTCACAACACAAGGAGTGACCATCACTCAACAAATTATGATTTTGTCATTTGGGAGTTGTAGTTGCTGGGATTTATAGTTCACCTACAATCAAAGAGCATTCTGAACTCCACCAATGATGGAATTGAACCAAACTTGGCACACAGAACTCCCATGACCAACAGAAATACTGGAAGGGTTTGGTGGGTATTGACCTTGAGTTTTGGAGTTGTAGTTCCTACATCCAGAGAGCACTGTGGACTCAAACAATGATGGATCTGGACCAAACTTGCACAAGCACTCAATACACCCAATATGAACACAGGTGGAGTTTGGGGAAAATAGATCTTGACATTTGGGAGTTGTAGTCACTTGGATTCACAGTTCACCTACAATCAAAGAGCATTCTGAACCCCACAAATGACAGAATCGGGGCAAACTTCCCACAGAACCCCCATGACCAACAGAAAATACTCCACCTCAGACATCAGAAGAGCTGCAAGACCAAGAACAACCCACGAGAGTAAAGATGAAGATCCAGCCAGAGGAAAAGTTGTTGTGTGGGGTCCCACAGGGTTCAATCTTGTCCCCGATGTTATTTAACATCTACATGAAGCCGCTGGGGGAGATCATTCGGAGTTTCGGAATGAGATGTTATCTCTATGCAGATGATGTCCAAATCTGTCACTCCTTCCCACCTGTCACCAAGGAGGCTGTCCAGACCTTGAACCGGTGCTTGGCCGCTGTGTCGGACTGGATGAGAGCTAACAAATTGAAACTGAATCCAGACAAGACAGAGGTCCTACTGGTCAGTCGTAAGGCCGAACAGGGCATAGGGTTACAGCCTGTGTTAGACGGGGTTACACTCCCCCTGAAGACGCAGGTTCGCAGCTTGGGAGTGATCCTGGACTCATCGCTGAGCCTGGAACCCCAGGTCTCGGCGGTGGCCGGGAGAGCTTTTGCACAATTAAAACTTGTGCGCCAGCTGCGCCCGTACCTTGGGAAGTCGGATTTGCCACGGTGGTCCACGCTCTTGTTACATCCCGATTAGATTACTGCAACGCACTCTACGTGGGGTTGCCTTTGAAGACTGTTCGGAAACTCCAACTAGTCCAGCGAGGCAGCCAGACTGCTCACCGGAGCGTCATACAGGGAGCATACCACCCCCTGTTGTGTCAGCTCCACTGGCTGCCGATTCAATTCCGAGCACAATTCAAGGTGCTGGTTTTGACCTACAAAACCCTTTACGGTTCCGGACCAGTGTATCTGTCCGAACGTATCTCCCTCTACGTCCCACCCCGGAATCTAAGATCTTCTGGGGAGGCCCTGCTCTCGACCCCGCCTCTATCACAAGTGAGATTGGCGGGGACGGGGAGCAGGGCCTTCTCGGTGGTGGCCCCCCGCCTATGGAACTCTCTCCCCGGGGAAATCAGATCTGCAACCACGCTCCTTTCCTTCAGGAGAAAACTAAAAACATGGATCTGGGACCTGGCATTCGGACAAGCGGGTAAATAAAGAAGAACTCCATTGATGGCTAGGAAATGACTAACGGATTGGTCATGTGGAACTCTGGAAACGAAACGCTGATTATAAGAATTGACTTTTATAGGATGTTTTATATGATGTTATACAATGTCTCAGGTACCAGTTGTTGATGTTTTATTGTGTCTATAGTTTTAATTGCATTTTTGTATATTGTTCTTTTATATTTTTGTATACTATGTATTGTGTATAGGCATCGAATTCTGCCTTTTCTGTAAGCCGCCCTGAGTCCCCCTTCGGGGGTTGAGAAGGGCGGGGTAAAAGTACCAGAAATAAATAAATATATGACTAAAGATGATGATCCACCCAGAGGAAAAGTGTTCTTGCCATATATCAAGGGAACCACTGACCGCATAGGGAAGCTGATGAGGAAACACAACATACAAACTATCTACGGACCTACCAAGAAAATCCAACAAATGCTACGTTCAGCAAAGGACAAGAGGGATCCTCTCACTTCTGCAGGAGTCTACCGTATACCATGCAGCTGTGGACAAGTCTACATAGGGACCACCAAACGCAGCGCCCAGACACGCATCAAGGAACATGAAAGGCACTGCAGACTACTTCAACCAGAGAAGTCAGCCATAGCAGAGCACCTGATGAACCAGCCTGGACACAGCATATTATTTGAGAACACAGAAATGCTGGACCACACGAACAACCACCATGTCAGACTACACAGAGAAGCCATTGAAATCCACAAGCATGTGGACAATTTCAACAGAAAGGAAGAAACCATGAAAATGAACAAAATCTGGCTACCAGTATTAAAGTACTCAAAAATCACAACAGCAAAACAGCAGAGGGGAAACAAACAGGCACATAAAATCACTCTCAACAAGGGATTCCCCCCGGGCACTTCTAAGCCATTGAATGCTAATCAAGGTGATCAGCTGAAACATTCACATCTAGCCCCAGCAAACAAAAGTCCTTTGTCTCACCCTGGTCATTCCACAGATATATAAACCCATTTTTCCTACTTCCAACAGACCTCACTACTCTGAGGATGCTTGCCATAGATGCAGGCAAAACGTCAGGGAAAAAAAATGCCTCCAGAACATGGCCATATAGCCCG